GGCCACGGCCGCGATGTCTAGGCCACGCCCGCGGCTGGGCCACAGCTGCGATGTCTACGCCACACCCGCCGCTGGGCCACGGCCACGGCTGGCTATTGCCGTGATAGGCCACAGTCAAAGGGAAAAAAAAAAAAAAAAAAAGCCTTAACGAAACCGCCACCCTGACACCACTGCCGGTCTGAGTTACAACCTCCTATTCAAACTCAGGCCATGACAAAGTTGCCAATCGCCTGTTTTTTTCTGCCCATTACAGACTCCCATGTGACATAAACGTACTTCCCTCAAGTCATTAGTAAGCCACCACTGCCTTCCCCCCTTGGAAAAACTGAACCATCAGGCTCCTGCGGTCAGCAGCCGGGTGCTTGGCAGGTCTTTTGCAAAACATTGACTGTGCCTATTCTACACCCCTGATTTTTTCCAACAAAAACTGAGAGGAAAGGGGGGGAAAAACCATTGTGCCAATGCATGCCCGAAAACGATTGGCAGCAAAAGTACGGACACTTTCGCTCCCTGCTACTATGGGTACCCTCACCTGAATGGCTGATTAAGGGCCTCTCCACACCACTCTTGAAACGGGGAAATTTTTCAAGAGCAGACTTTCTCAAGAGTTGGGTCTTCAAGAGTTTTCGGCCCCTCGCCACACAGCACTCTCCAAAGGGCAATGGTGTTAGACAGAGGATGGAAAACGACAGTCGTACAGCTTTGTTTTTTTCGAATGGAGTCAGGATAACGGCCTGACAACTCTTGAAAATTGGAAGTCCCTCAAGGGTTCGGGCAAACGCTCAAGGACGCTTGGAAACGCACGAGTTGCAGGCTGGGGTTTCCCATAGAGCTGCTCTTGAAACCGTTTCAAGAGCCACTCTGACAGCTCTTGACTGCCCCAGGTGTCAAGAGGCTGTGTGGCGATGCAGCAACTCTTGAAAAAGAGTTTTCAAGAGTGGTGTGGTGAGGCCGTAGGTGCTCATGATGGTGATTGACACTTGCAGTGCTGCCCGTTCTTTTTTCCTCTCCCGTAATGGCCGTTCTATTGCCCTTGGAATACCGTTTTCCAATACTAACCATGGGTTGGCCGCAAACAAGGACTCCGAGGCGTATTATTGTTTTTCGTTTTTAAGGGGGGACCAATACCCAAGGCTCGTATTACACCACCAGGAAAGGCGTGTCTATCTGGACTGGCAGTCGTCCCCCAAAACTGTAACAGTGGGCCTCGCCCCACTTCTCACCACATGGCAAAAGACAGAAAATATGGCTATCCTTTTTTTTTTTTTATAAACAAAACGGCGAGATCATTCCATTACAAAGAGTAATGGAATACCCTGAATCATCTGGGGCCATTACCCAGTTTCGGCTTAGGCGAACCCTGAACCATCTGGGGCCATTACCCAGTTTCGGCTTAGGCATGGGAAGACGTCCAGAGACAAAGAGGTCAGTGCGAGACCGCTGCTCTGACTGATCTGCAACAGCCCCCCAAAAATATGGGGAAAAGTTGTTGATGCCCCCCGCGGCAAAACCTTTGTCAAATTTTCACCCCAAAATGGACGCGCGTGCTGGAAGTCCCCAAAAGAACTTTTTGTCCTTCTTGCACCCCGGGGGCCTCGGCCCACATGCCAGCGAATAGTATAGTTTACTAGTGTGGGACTGTTAGGAACTGTCTATTGTATTTTCAACGGAAGGTGGGATTATGCATCCCGCCATTTAGGGCAGGAAGCCGTAAGGCTCCGTTTTGTCATTGGTTTTTAGTTGCTTTAGGGGTCCCGTGTGGAATGGAGGGAGAGGCAATATGGTGTAGTATACTACGCTCTTTTTTTGGGCGT